GCATCATGCACCCTCACAACCCAAAGCGACGCCATAGCGTAACGGACCTGCCTCTCCCTCCAGTGTTGTGTCAGATCCCGGTTCCCCTTGGGCTGTGTCTCTCCTACTGTTTCCCACGGAGCTCTGCCCTGTTTGAAAGGCGAAGGAAGCCTGTATGTGGAAAGACGTCGCCTCCGAGATGTAGAATGTGTATTATAGAAGAGAAACACACATTTCACGACCGCTGACTTGTATCATCAGAACAGACATGTCCTGTGATTTTCAGCCTCCTTTCATATTTAATAGAGGGGGGACAATACCTGACAGTAATATTCTCAGCTGTCAGGATGTGCCTGCTGTAAAGGGTAAATACAATCATAGAAGGATGAAAATCACAGGACATGTCTGTTCTGATTATACAAGTCAGTGTAAGCCTCCTTTCATATTTAATAGAGGGGGGGACTGTATCTAAAAGTACAGCTGTCAAGATGCCCCCCGCCACAGGCCTTTCCCACCTTGGTCCTGAAAAAACCCAGGAAAAACCCTGAATATAATAATACCAGTCCATACCTATTGGTAGCTTTGTCACCTTCTACCTATGCCAATCCTCAATGCCTATGTGCAGTTTCACATAGATTCACCACATCAGTGAGTAGAAAAACGTGGGACAGACAGAATGACTGACTGACAGAATGACACACTGACAGTTTCCGTGATTATGTACAGCATACCACAGCATGACTTAGTCATACCAAAAATTAGAAAAAAACAACAACATTTGGCCACAGGGGGAGCCACAGCGATCAGTCGCATTTTAGCCATTTTTAAACATTTTTCTGTTAGAGTTAAATTTCTCCAGTCACCTTGAGGCGTCCTGTTCTACATATCTACGAAGTTTAGTAAAAATTGATATGGTGGTTAGGCCTAGATAAGAAATTAGCTCTCTAGCACCCCCATTTTGTTTGATCGGGTCAATAATGGAGGGGTCCCCTCAGACTATGTGTGTTCATATGCCTACAAAGTTGCGTGGTGATCGGTGAAACCCTTGCAATGTTATACACCTTTATGTGATGAGCCACGCCCTCTGCAATAGTCATTGCCTTATAGAAGCTCAGTTTTAGTAAGTTTTTTTCAACTTTTGCCAGAGGGAACTTTAGATATTGGTCCCTAGATTATGTTCACCAAGTTTCCTGCAGATCGGTCAAACTTCCTAGGAAGAGATCGATTTTAAATGTTTTTCCAAAAATTCAAAATGGCAGAAAATCCATATAACCGGAAGTTATGGGTTCTTGAGGCAAATTTGTCCTCATGAGGAGAGGCATCTCTGTGAAAAGTTTCATGTCTCTACGACATACGGGGCATGAGATAGGCCCATTCAAAGTTTGCAATTTCAATCAGTTGCTATAGCACCCCCCTTTGGCCAATTAATGTAATATTGCTTCATTCGCATCCTCCCATGACCCTCTACCACAGTGCCAAATTTCACATGGATTGACCAAGTCAGTGAGGAGAAAAACATGGAACAGACATACACACAGAGTTTTCGTCATTATATAGTAAGATATAGTAAGATTTGTAATTTCAGGTCGATAACTTAAGTTATTATTTACTTTATTATTATATCTCTTTCTGTCTTTTTTTCAAACACTATCTATCACTATTTCCTAGAGTTTACTGTACCCTCAGTCAGCTGTGCAGTCGCAGTGTACAGTAACATAAGTAACATTTTGATACATCACTTGACTACACAGAAACACCTAATGACATCACAGAAACAATCTTATTTCTATCCAAGATCATGGCAATTCTTTAGGAATGAGGTTGGCTGAGATTTCAAGCTCAAAGGGATGTTTAGCATCACCAGTAGGCCTGTCACAATAACTAGTTTTATTGGACAATATATTGTCCCAGAAGTGCAATAAAATTTGTTATTGTCAAACTATTTCATACCACTGAAATATTGATAATATAATAGCGTAATAATGCAGGTACACCCTTTCAAAGAGCAATGAACTTTTAATTTGACCAGCAATAACACTGAAACGTTTCTTAGCATAGTTTTAGGCACCGTGAAAAAGTGCTTAGGCACTGCGACCAAGTCTGTAATGTTTGGAAAATCCCGCCTGTTGATTCTGGCATCATGTAGGCTAAAATTCTGGTGACATTTTCATGTAAACAAGCATGCATGTAATATTGACTAATATTGTCCGTAATACAGACTGATTTGATTTTTTTTTTTTTTAAATATATATATAATTCTTTAGCCATATGGCTCATAACTTGTGTATCGACCTGGTCTCATCCTCGACCTGGTCTCATCAACAAATACTGGCGCTTGGGCAGTGACCTCTGTGTCAGAATGCTGACGACAGAAATGTCCACCAGAGCTGTTACCCCTTAACTGAATGTTCATTTCACTACCATAATACCTCAACAGTATTGTTTTCTTGAACGTGACATTGGCAGAAATGTCCACCAGAGCTGTTGGCCATGAATTTAGTGTTCACTACACTATCATAAGTAGGGATGGGTATTGTTAAAATTTTTTTAAGCTTTTTACAACGTGAAATGTAAAATACATAAAATAATAGTGTTGTCACGGTACCAAAATTGGGACCCACGGTACGATACCAGTGAAAGTATCACAGTTCTGAGTAGTATCACGATACCACAGCAAAAATTAGGCAGATGTGCCTTTTGTCATTTATAAAAAGATAAATCACTTTTCTTTAATACATCAATAATATTTCAATGGAATAAATTACTTATTGACTTATTCATACTTCAAAAACAGCATCAATAAGTGATTAACATAGGGGGGATCAAAATAAAATAAATGAATAAAATAAAAATCAACCAGCCACCCTCCTCCCCTGACAAGTAAAGAACAGAAAATAAAGTGAGGTTTGTGGGCCGTTACCTGCCACAAAGAGAGAAATGTGAACGACACGTTTCCCCTCTGACACGTCACATTCCTGTGTGCTGCCACGGCTCGGCTGTTCAGGTACTTCTGGACAGTCATGACATCAGCAAAGAGGAAAATATTGGATCTGGAGCCAGGCTTCTCCGTTGCCGGTAAGCCGCTATCTTGTGCAGGAAACCCTATTTAGTAAATAGGGTCGCAAAATAGCTAATGGTTATTAACTCCACGTGTTGGCTGCTAGCATAATGTTACAAACCTGGACTGGACGTAAATGAACTAGGGCAGTCAAACCCTGTACATCTGAATATGATGCACTTTCGCAAGGTGTTTTGACAAATTACTTGCGTTGCCGCCCATACACGCAAAACATTTGTCACACTTGTGACAACGCGCTGTGTCTGCATCAACTCTTGTAATGTAAAGCCACACTTTTGAATGTTTGGCTCTCTCTGTCATTGTTACCTATCTAAAGGTAGGCTACGAGCTTGAGTTGGTGTGTGCGCTGTCTTGTGTGCGTGCGTATGTGTGTGTGTGTGTGTGTGTGTGCGTGAGTGTGTGTGTGTATGTGTGTGTCTGTCACTGGAACAACAGCCCCGCCCCCCTGCTCTCCACTCAAACACTGCAGGCAGCCAGGGTGAGCGACACAGATCTCTTGTCTTCAGGGAGAATAGCGAAAATTATGATACAATGACGGATAATTGACGGAGTTGGTGAGATAAATGTGCAAGATAACGTTTATCTTGTAAAAAAAAAAAAACAAAAAAAAAAAACCGCGACTGCTCCAGTACCGATAGCAGAACCATTAAGGTCAGAGCTTATCAATACTGCGGTCTTGAAGAATGTAGCCCCGGGGCTCGTTCAATACCGGAGTTCGGTACCCATCCCTAATCATAAGAAGCCTGCAGTGTTGTTTCCCATTTGGCAGTACATCCAACCAGCCTAACAAATGCAGACCACATGTAGCCACACCAGTTCAGGACCTCCACATCCAGAGTCTTCACCTGCAAGATCATGTGAGAGCAGCCACCTGAACAACTGAGGCTCATCTGCATCCTCACCAGGGTCTTGACCTGGCTGCAGTTTGTATCCGATTTGTGCAGTTGCTAGGCCGGTTGGATATTCTGCCAAATTATGGGAAACGACACTGGAGACATCTTATGGTAGTGAAATGAATATTCAGTTCACGGCCAACAGCTCTGCAGTCACCATGCCAATTGCTTCATCTGTGATGTGTTGTGGGATCAAACTGTATATTTTAGAGTGTCCTTTTATTGTGACCATCCCAAGGCACACCTGTGTAGCAATGTGCTTACTAACAAATATTTTAAGGGATTTGTGACCAAAATTTGAAAGAAATATGTCTATTAAGTGCATTAAAAAGGTCTTAAATTTTTAACTTAAACCTGTATAAAATGGGAGCAAAACAAAAGTGTTATATTTTTGGTCAGTGTCTTTAGCCAATACCAACACATGAAAATATGTATGACTGGGTTCAATCCCAATTCTGTCAAACTGGTCTCACTCCGAGGTTGTTGAATACCAGCGGTTGGTCAATAAGTTCTAGCGTCAGACACCGACAAAAAAAAGTCACCCTTTCACGTCCACGTGATACATGGCCGGGTGCATCAGTGTTTACTGGCGCCCGACGGCATCAGTGGGGCACAAGGCCAGACAACAACATAAGTTAAGGGGATGAAAAGTGCAGGTAGAGTGGGTGGAAGGGATGGTGAATGGGTCCAGAGACGCTGGTGCTTGTTTCCTGTATAAATGTAAAGCCAAACCCTTTTCTTTTTTTCTAACCCTAACCATGTGTGTATGTTGGCTAAACATAACCACTTGTGTTTATTGCTGAAGGAAGAAAACTTTAATTCACAGTGTTGTACTGACATAGTGCATTTAATTTAGAAGAGAATGTATGCAAACTGTACATTTCCTGTGAAAACGAGTGTATTTTGAAAAGAAAGAATGTGTTGTGCGTATACAATGTTGAGCATTGTGTCTCCTGCGTTCGTTAATATAACAACAGACACTGAATGTTCAATCAATTAGATTCTATCACTGCTAACTGGAGTGATAATCTAACTGGAAAACATTTTACCTCCAAAGACGGGACCCCCTTGCTGATTGGCTGGGGGTACTCGCGGAAGATGCGCTCTTCATCCAGGAACTTGCCATCCCTCCCATTGCTGGCTGGCTGGAAAAGCCCATAGTTGAGCACATCTTTCAGGCTCTGATTAAGCGTACACAGGATCCGCTGCTTGGCAACCCAGACAGTTGCATCCGGGTTGAACCGCATGCATTTCTGATTGAGTTTGGGGAAGAGAGGAGAGAATAAATGTGTGTGAGAGGGGCAAAGAGACAAATTGACTGAACAGTGACGACTGGAGTGAAGGCTGGCAGTCACAATAATCAACACAAATGAAATTTTCATCTTTGAAATCAACTTGTGACAGAATTTTTATTGGACATCAAACTTTTGATTGACAGATGTAAATAGGCTGGGAGGTAAGAGTAATGAATGGAATCACAGAACAATGGTGCCCAATCAAAATAGTTCAGACACATCCAAATTGGTGCTTCAATAACACAAACCCTGTCTCAGTTATTACAAATAAACCCTGCAGCTCTGCCAAGCTTTTTATTGTTTTATTGTCACTGTGCTATATGCTAAACAGGGCCACTTCACTCGCTGAGAATGTAACTGACCCGACCTCTTTGCCCCCTGGTCTTTCCCAGTTCCATCATCCATAGTGAAAAAACACACAATGCAGGATTACTGGCCTCGTCCGAATCACAGAGGATTACGGGCGCTGTGCCGTGGCATTCGGGAAGTGTCTGTGAGTGTTTACAGCTGGATGTGCTGCTCAGCCGGTGATAGCAGCCCTGTGTCTGTGATAAAGGCTGAGGGGATGAGCAGTCTGTGAACTCTGCCTAACCGTAATCCTCTCGCCTGGTGTGGAGTGGGCAGAGAAGGGGAGAGGAGAGCAAGGAAAGATGAAGGGTTGAAGGTATACGGAAACAGATGTCTGGCATCTGGCAGGGCTGTTTGGACTGATATGGCCTCCTTTCCTTCTGCTGGTTTATTACAGTGGCAAATTTCCATCCACTCCCATTATTGCTGCATACTCAGCTCTAAACATGAGCTTAACTTAAACACTGTGTACATAATTTCCAGGGAACTGGGGATCAATGTTTTCCAAAGTAGAGGTAATAAGAGTCAGATTTTTGTCCCATCTGTAACAAAATAAAAGCATACAACCAATGACAAAATGAATTACTACAATTGATTATTAGTTACTATAATCACTTTACATTAGACCTGGGTCTTAAAAGATATGGCCAATCAGACTATTATGTCATAATAACTTTGCACTCACCACCACTCGTGTGAACTCACACTGCTGTTTGTTACTATCGTCTGATTTGATGATGGTTGAACTTCTGCTGTGGCTCAGCATATGACCATGGGAACCAGAAACAGAATTAGCTTCCCAGTGTTCTCAAACCTTCCTACCGTGGTCCAAGAATTCAAAGCAACAGTCTCTGGAAAACTAGCTTGCTTGTCTGACCTTAAGTCTGCCATTGTGTCCAATCTTTGAATCATTACCAAAATGAGCTCTGAAAAGATGGTGTCTCCATCTGGATGCGAAAGCTGTCTACTGGCATGAAATGAGAGCAGAGATGGATGGAATAAAGTGAGAAAAACAGCTTATTTGAGGACAATTTGACAATTGTTGAAGGATCAGGGAAACAGAAAAGCATGCAGGGAAGAGGAAGCATCACACCTCCTTACATCTGTCTTTTTCTGTGATTTTCCTTTTGTATCATTCTCATGGACCCAAGATGTATCTGTTGTGTTGGTTTGTGTGGAAGAGAGGGCCATTGTTACAGCTGCCACTGGTTTGAGTCTCAAGGCTCATCATTACACTTTCCGGATGTGATCAAAAAAGGTAATTTGACAATGTGGGAAACTGTTCGCTCATCAGTAACACTTTATAGTCACTTAATACACAGCTGGCATCATGAAGACTAGAAGCACTAGGAAACCCTAGTTTGGCTCTGTCTAAAGTTTCCAACACCTATATACTGCAACTATTTTTTTTAAACTTTCTGACCTCTGTTCCTCAAGAAATACACTGAACAAAAATTTAAACACAACATTTTTATTTTTGCTCCCATTTTTCACAAGATTGAGTTAAAGATCTGAGAATTTTTATGCACTCAATGGATATATTTCTCTAAAATCCTGGTTGCAAATGAAATAAAATTCATGGTAATGAGCACTTCTCCTTTTCCAAAATAATCCATTCACCTAACAGGAGCGGTATATCATTTAACAGCATCATAACTGCACAGGTGTGCCTTGGAAGGTCACAATAAAAGGATACTCTAAAATGTGCAGTTTGATCACACAACACAATGCCACAGATGTCTCAAGTTGTGACGGTGTGTGCCAAAGACATGCTGACGGCAGGAATGCCCACCAGAGCTGTTTCCGGTAATCTGAATGTTCATTTCACTACCATAAGACATCTCCAACGTAGTTTCCCTGAATTTCAAATTTGCAGAGTACATCAACCACACATGCTGACAGGTCAAGACCTTGAATGTGGAGGTCCTGTATGGAAGCGAATCGTGACTAATATTTAAATTAAAATGTATTTGCAGAAATGCTTTTTCATTTTAAGATTGTGGCTGCATTATTTGACTCATAAATAAAATTAATCATCAATCATCCTGTTTGCATTTTAATTTTATTCTTAAAATGAAAAAGCATTTCTGTAAATGCATTTTAATTTTCAAATTTTACATTTCAAATTGAATTTTGGTATCTATTTGCTGGGGCATATTTTGAAAATTAAATCTCAAATGACTTTTTCTTTTTCATTTTAATTAAGTAAAAGAATGATCAGTCTTGAAGAAGAAAATTAAAATGCAAATAGGATGATTGATGATTAATTTTATTTATGAGTCAAATAATGCAGCCACATTCTTAAAATGAAAAAGCATTTCTGTAAATGCATTTTAATTTTCAAATTTTACATTTCATATTGAATTTTGGTATCTATTTGCTGGGGTATATTTTGAAAATTAAATCTCAAATGACTTTTTCCTTTTCATTTTAATTAAGTAAAAGAATGATCAGTCTTGAAGAAGAAAATTAAAATGCAAATAGGATGATTGATGATTTTTAATTTTATTTATGAGTCAAATAATGCAGCCGCAATCTTAAAATGAAAAAGCATTTCTGCAAATACATTTTAATTTAAATATTAGTCACGATTCGCTTCCATAGTCCTGAGCTGGTGTGGTTACACGTGGTCTGCAGTTGTGAGGCTGGTTGGATGTTCTGCCAAATGGGAAACAACGCTGCAGGCATCTTATGATAGTGTACTCGTACTCGTCTTCCTCCACTTATCCGGATCCGGGTCGCGGGGGCAGCAGCCTCAGCAATGAAGCCCAGACAGTCCTCTCCCCAGCCACCTCCGTCAGCTCTTCCAAGGGAACCCCGAGGCGTTCCCAGGCCAGCCAGGCGTTGTAATCCCTCCAGCGTGTCCTGGGGCGGCCCCGAGGTCTCCTCCCGGTTGGACATGCCCGAAACACCTCCCAAGGGAGGCGTCCGGGAGGCATCCTTACCAGATGCCCAAACCACCTCAACTGGCTCCTCTCGTTGTGGAGGAGCAGGGGCTCTACTCCGAGTCCCTCCCGGATGTCCAAGCTCCTCATCCTATCTCTAAGGCTGAGCCCAGCCACCTTGCGGAGGAACCTCATTTCGGCCGCTTGTACTCGCAATCTCGTTCTTTCGGTCACTACCCAGAGCTCGTGACCATAGGTGAGGGTTGGAACATAGATCGACCGGTAAATTGAGAGCTTCGCTTTCTGGCTAAGCTCCCTTTTCATCACAACGGACCGGTTAAGCGCCCGCATCACTGCTGACGCCGCCCCAATCCGCCTGTCAATCTCCTGCTCCATCCTACCCTCACTCATGAACAAGATCCCGAGATACTTAAACTCCTCCACCTGAGGCAGGACCTCCCCCCTGACCTGGAGTGGGCAATCCACCCTTTTCCGGCTGAGGACCATGGCCTCAGACTTGGAGGTGCTGATTCTCATCCCAGCCACTTCACACTTGGCTGCGAACCATCCCAGCGAGAGCTGGAGGTCACTGTTCGATGGAGCTAGGAGAACCACATCATCCGCAAAGAGCAGGGACGAGATCCTACCGTCACCGAACCTGACACCCTCCACTGCTCGGCTGCGCCTAGAAATTCTGTCCATGAAAGTTATGAACAGAACCGGTGACAAAGGGCAGCCCTGGCAGAGTCCAACCCTCACTGGGAACAGGTCCGACTTACTGCCGGCCATGCGAACCAGACTCGTGCTCCTTCGGTACAGGGACTGGATGGCCCTTAGCAAAGGGCCACCAACCCCATACTCCTGGAGCACCCCCCCCCAGGATGCCCCTGGGGACACGGTCGTAAGCCTTCTCCAAATCCACAAAACACATGTGGACTGGTTGGGCGAACTCCCATGCCCCCTCCAGCACCCTGGCGAGGGTAAAGAGCTGGTCCACGGTTCCGCGCCCAGGACGAAAACCACATTGCTCCTCCTCAATCCGAGGTTCAACTATCGACCGGACCCTCTTCTCCAGCACCCTGGCGTAGACTTTACCGGGTAGGCTGAGGAGTGTGATCCCCCTGTAGTTGGAACACACCCTCTGGTCCCCTTTCTTGAAGATGGGGACCACCACCCCGGTCTGCCACTCCAGTGGCAGTTCCTTCACTACCTCGGCGACTTCTGCCCCAGAAATTGGACGACCCGCCCCCGAGACCCCCGGCTCTGTTTCCTCACTGGAATACGTGTTGGTGGGATTGAGGAGCTCCTCAAAGTATTCCTTCCAACGCCCGACAATGTCCCCAGTTGACGTCAGCAGCTCCCCACCCCCACCGTAAACAATATGAGCAAGTTGCTGCCTTCCCCCCCTGAGGCACCGGATGGTTTGCCAGAACCTCTTTGGAGCCGATCAATAGTCTTTCTCCATGGCCTCACCGAACTCCTCCCACGCCCAAGTTTTTGCCTCTGCGACTGCCGCTGCTGTGCTCCGCTTGGCCTGCCGGTACCTGTCAGCTGCTTCTGGAGACCCACAGACCAACCATGCCCTGTAGGCCTCCTTCTTCAGCCTGACGGCTCCCCTCACCTCTGGTGTCCACCAGCGGGTTCGGGGGTTACCGCTGCGACTGGCCCCAGCGGCCTTGCGGCCACAGCTCCCAACAGCCGCCTCGACAATGGCAGAGCGGAACA